ACAGCACATGATCTGCTCTGAGATGAGCATAGAGCACAGACTTTTTAGACTTTGGGATTGCTCAGATTGCAGACTTGCAAACACTTGCCTGCTGTTTTATTATAAGAGATATGTTCAGGCCAAATGGAACAGAAACATATCTGTAACTGGCTGATAAGTTGTATGCCTGTGTATGCTGAACACATGAAGGTCGTGAGTAAACCAAATATGTTATTTTTACCAAAGTCTACTTTAGTGTCTCTTGAGTGCATAATATAAAACAAGTTGTTTTATGAGAGAGTAGATATATTTTTGGGCACTGAAAAACACTTGTGAAGAACTGCTATTTTTATGGACACGACACTGGCATATTATTTATCTCCTAACAGATGAGAGACAACAGGTCATTCAGTCTAACAACTGAAGTCAATTGCACTGCATAATTACATTTGGTTGTATACCACTTGAGAAGATTCTACTCAAACAGGTTTTTGGCTCTCCTCTAACAGGTTATGATCTCTAAAAGGTCACGCTTTTCTAAAAACATATTCCACTGCCAAACAGCTCTTAATGTGCACAAGATTACAACCCTAATCTATTCTTCTGTTATGTTGTTCATGGGAAGTTGACCACGGAATTGCACTGGAGGCCTAGAGAGAATAGTTTTCTGGGTCCTTCTGTGCAGTTCTATTGTATGCTTTGGCTGGAAATCCAACACATTGTACTATTCAGGTAAGAAAACAGTGTTCTAGATTATGCACAAAAATCATATTGCAAAAATATGATTTTGGAACAGATCCTTTGCTTAATGCCACAAATTGGTTTGATTGTTTATTCAGTGTGGAACCTTGGACCACCAAACTCAAGTCCACCCAAATGTTAAATAAACTGTTTGGTTCAATCTACTTTCACACTCCATTCATTAACCTTACAAGATTTAAAAAATACCCCTTCTAAGGCACCTTTCATCAGCAGAACAATTGGGCCAACCAAAGGCTGGTCTTGGATCCAAGCCGTAGGCAATAAATTGGGTTTCAAATGTTTTTACTGCATTCTTTATTTGATATAGCAATAACTCTCCATGCCATTTTTGGCAAAAAGGCAGTGTTAAATACATAAATAAATATTTTAGAGTAGAAAATAAGCAAGACTGGTACAAGCTGGGAATACTGAACAAAAACCGCCAACAACAGTTGGCAGAAATGAGTCATAGTAATTGATCTATGGATTTAGCAGAGGCAACTGTATGAATCAGTTTGTGACTTGTTAAAGATTTATTTGGCTGCTCTTTGGTAAATGAAACTTACGTACCCATTCAGTGAAGATTTGTTGGAAAACAGCAGAGAAGCCTGTGGCACCTTACTGGCTAATAGGCTGATGGTGGTTGTTTTTGTGCACTGCAGACCTCTTAATCCGATGCATTGCTTCAGTTGCTACTCAGTTGTGTGCTTGTTTAAGTGGGTGTAGGGTTGTAATAAGTGTGCGGTAAAAAGGCGTAACAAGTGGGACTGAAGTATAGCAAGCCCTCCATGTTTGTGGATTTGACTTCTGCAGATTTGATAATTTGTGATTTGAGTAAAATATAGTATCTGAGGATCTTTAAGTTTTCAGTGTGACTCTACTTGTGACAAAAGGTAAACATACAACCATGCCAAAGGACTTAAGAGAACACTTATCTAGGAATCTTTAGGTCCTACAGTATGACCTGGAAGACGCTGTACTGGCGGTGGGTCCATAGGTGACTGTGGAGCCCTAATCGTGACCTGCATCTTCTCCCGCAGTGAGGGTATCGGTTTCCAGGTGGAAGGCGGTCCCAGTCGGGGTTGGCTTGATGCGCCTTCCTCTTGGCAAGTTTCTCTCTTTCGCCCTCCATTCATGCCTCTTCAAATTCTACAGCACTGCTGGTCACAGCTGACTTCCAGCTGGAGCGCTCAAGGGCCAGGGCTTCCCAGTTCTCAGTGTCTATGCCAAAGTTTTTAAGGTTGGCTTTGAGCCCATCTTTAAATCTCTTTTCCTGTCTACCAACATTCCGTTTTCCGGAGTAGAGCAACTGCTTTGAGAGATGGTTGTCGGATATCTGGACAACGTGGCCGGTCCAGTGGAGTTGGCAGCAGAGGACCATCACTTCAATGCTGGTGGTTTTTGCTTCTTCCAGCACGCTGACATTTGTCCATTTGTCTTCCCAAGAGATTTGCAGGATTTTCCGGAGGCAGCGCTGATGGAATTGTTCTAGGAGTTGTATGTGACATCTGTAGACAGTCCACGTTTCGCGGGCATATAGCAGGGTTGGGAGGACAACAGCTTTATAAACAAGCACCTTGGTATCCCTACGGATGTCCTGGTCCTCAAACACTCTCTGCTTCATTCGGAAAAATTGTGCGTTTGCAGAGCTCAGGCGGTGTTGTATTTCGGTGTCGATGTTGACTTTGGTGGAGAGGTGGCTGACAAGGTATCCTATCAACATTTTCTAATGTTACACCATTAAGCTGTATTTCTGGCATTGGAGAGGGATTGGCCAGTGACTGCAGGAAGAGCACTTAGGTTTTCTCGATGTTCAATGACAGGCTGAGCTTCTCGTATGCTTCTGTGAAGGTGTTTAGAGTGGCTTGTAGGTCTTCTGAATGCACACAGATGACATTATCATCAGCATACTGGAGTTCTATAAGATATGTTGTTGTAACCTTGGTTCTGGCTTTCAGTCTGCTGAGCTTAAATCTATCTGACCGATAGATGATTTCCACTCCAGTGGGAAGCTTCCCATCAACAAGTTGAAGTATCAAAGCAATGAAGATGGAAAATAAGGTTGGGGCAATAACACATCCCTGTTTGACACCTGATTCCACCTTAAAGCGGAATCATAGAGCTACACCTGCAGAGTGAATGGTCGCAGGAACAAAGCAAAGCATCGTTTTTGCTTTTAGGACAAAAGCTGAATAATACAACATAGTCCAAAATATGTGGTCCGACAATTCAATATGTATTTGAGTCGACAGGAGAAAAACATCCCACAAGCAACCCACCTCCGGAACTGAACTCTTCTCTTTTCTTAATGGTGCCCTCCTGCGTTTCCCGCCTCTCTTTCGCGCCTGCGCAATCGCTCGCTCTCCCTCGCTGAAGGAGTGGGGCGGGGCTTCTCCGACAAAGCCACGCCCTTCCCGCAAACGGCGAAATGAAAGCTTAGCTCCCGCCTTTGTTGGTTCACGTGAAGGGCAGTCCTCCAATGAAACTCGTTACAGCATTTGAAGGAGTGGAGTCTTGTCCAATGGGAGTGTTGAGGCGGGACATCCAAGCACTGAACGGTTTTGGCGTATCTGTTTGACTGCTGAAGGAGGTAAGACAAACAGGAACTGGACGATCCCATTTTTGTCGGGAAAGGGAGGAAGTTTGCCTATGGCTTGGATTCCGAAAGCGGTGTAGTTTATCTATTCAGTGGCTTTCCTGAGTATCGAAGATCAACCCACCAGTGGAACCTTCCTGTATCCCTCTTAAAGAGCCAGCGCTTTCCCTGGGGCAAGGATTCCCCAGACTTCTAGGGTTGTGAACTTCAACTCCCAGAAGCCTCAGCTGTTTTGGCTAATGGCAAGGGATTCTGGGAAATGAAGTCCAAAAACCGTGAAGTTGTGTGATCCTTGCCTAGTGGAGGGCGGGTGCTTCTAACTTGTGCGCTTCTCAATTGAGACACTGAGAGGCGGCAGCAGTCCTGGACTCGCTTGCCTGGGATTCGCTTTCTGCAAGGAAGTTCACATTGGCTTCCCACTTTCCCCCTCCTTAAATGTGCAAAGGGTTCTCCATGGTGATGTATTGTACACCAGCCAGATCTCCACCAATAAATCTGGTCCTACTTCCTACCATCCCTGGCTAAGTGCCTCTCTGTTTCCTATCACAAGGCAAATGACTTTGGGATGGGATCATTTGTAAACAATTCTCGCTATGCTTAATCACACAATCTATATTCTGTCTGTACTTGATTTGGTACTCAAATCAAATACACTCATTTGACACTTAGCTGATCTAAATATTCTCAATATATTCAGCATTGATAGTACTTGCACAAGACAATATGGCCATGTCCTCTACCTCCTACCATTAGGTTTGGGTCCCATTTTGGTGTAGGGACATGGTGCAGATTAGAAACTTCTTGTGTTGTCGAAGGCTTTCATGGCTGGAATTACTGGGTTGCTGTGTGCTTTCCGGGCTGTGTGGCCATGTTCCGGAAGCATTCTCTCCTGACGTTTCACCCACATCTATTGCAGGTATCCTCAAAGGTTGTGAGGTTGTTGGAAACTAGGCAAGTGGGGTTTATATATCTGTGGAATAATGGCCAGAGTGGGAGAAAGAACTCTTGTCTGCTTGAGGCAGGTGTGGATGTTGCAATTGGCCATCTTGATTAGCATTGAATGGCCTTGCAGCTTCAAAGTCTGGCTGCTTCCTGCCTGGGGGAATCCTTTGTTGGGAGGTGTTAGCTGGCCCTAAAAATGGGAAATCCTGACATGAAACAAACCAGGGCCAGCATTAAAAAGTGTCTAACCAAAATAATCCAGTTTCTTTTAAGTGTCAATGGGGAATAAATGGGGAATATCCAAGTCTCAGTCCAGCACTCTAAACACTGTGTTGTCAAAAGGCTTTCATGGCCACAATCACTGGGTTGTTATGAGTTTTCCAGGCTATGTGGCCATGTTCCATGACAGCTGCCTCAAGCAGACAAGAGTTCTTTCTCCCACACTGAACAATCCACAGATATATAAACCCCATTTGCCCAGTTTCCAACAGACCTCACAATCTCTGAGTATTCCTGCCACAGATGCGGGTGAAACGTCAGGAGAGAATGCTTTTGAGACATGGCCATAAAACCTGGAAAACTCACAGCAACCTAGAAACTTTTTGTTCGTTGTTACTCTCTTGGCATATACTTGTTTTTCAATGTAGTAGTAGATCTTATTGTTATTCAAGTACTCTCAAAAATGTAACAATAATGATCAGATATTCATCTGTTAATTTGTATATATATTTTTCTCTCGCAGCATCCACTTTGGAATCCTAGAGGATCCTTTTGGTCACAAAATGGAATTGGTTGCTGAGTATGAGGTGAAGAGTAATCTCTCAGATGTTTAGTTCCCTCTGATTTCTGCCTGGTGTGGAGGAACTTGCTGGCTTTTGTTCTGTGGCATGAAGTGCATAGTCACTGGGGGCAATGTGAAAGGTAAGGCAGGAATTATGGTTGCTATATAGACCATTCTACCTTTGAGACCTTGGCATGTGTGGGTACATGTGCAGGAAATGTGTCTTTATATTCAGTGGAATGGATTGTGCAATGCGTGGTCCTCTGCCTTCATTTTAAAGGTTCTCAAGTTCAGTTCAGATTCCTGGCAGAATTGATCATTCCCTCTCTTTCCATATGCTATATAGAAAGAGAGAAGACATAGTGAGTGAGAAAAAGCAAGCAAAGGCTTCTCTCTATTTATGACACTGTAGAATTAATGCACTTTAACTGTCATAGCCCAGTGCTATGGAATCCAGTGACTTGTAGTTTGGTAAGACACCAGCACTCTTTGGCACAGGAGGTTAAAGACATTGCAAAACTATAACTCCCATGAGTCATAGCATTGAACCATGATGCTTAAAGTGGTATCAAACTGCATTTGCATCCCATTCCCTTGTTCCTTAGCTACAATTTGCACTATCCCATTCCCCTGTCTTGTTTACAGCCTGGCCATGTCTTACAATAGTTGTCACCACAGGTTTTAGGCGTTGTTCTGAGTCTTTAATTGTTGTTTTGTGTGCTATTGGTTTTACTTTTTGTATTGAACTGTGTGTTTATTTTATGAGTTGTTTTTAGGCATCTTGTGTCATATGACAGCTCAGCCTGCTCCCCCTGGATTTGAACTATTAGTTAGCAGTCCTGCTGGCACAAGGGTTTAACCCATTGCACCACCGGGGTTCTGCATCAGAGAGTGAAATGAAAATAATAATTTTGTCTAAAAGCAATGCTGGACAGTCTCAGTCTGTAGGAAGGATTGACTAAGTTGGGATGAAATGTGAGATATCACGAGATACTTAAACTCCCATACCAATTTAATGTTCTTTTTACCCCGTGTTCAGCCCTAGGGAAAGCAATACATTCCCTTGCCCGTGTTGGAGATGAAATCTATGTCGAGCCACTACAAAAAGGGGTAAGACAAGGAACCTTGGAAAGTGAATAAGTGAGAATGTTCCATAGCAGAATTAAATTATGGTATATCAGGTTGACTGTTAATGGTTATATGGGGCCGAGGAATCCTGTCCATTTGCAATATGAAGCAGAAACATTGTTTAAATTCATTGCAACATCTTATAAGAAAATCCAACAAGATATAATAGGAAGATTTACTACAGAAGATGAGATTCTGAACAGCATATTGATTATGCATTACCTTTGTGGTGGTAACTAAAGACTTTTCTTTGCAGCAGTGATTCACTTCGGGCATTATGATCAATTTGCTTGGCTGGGGGTGGGTGTGCCAATTACCTGTCAAAATCCTGTGTAGGTGTATGCTTAAGTTGTTAATATTTTGCATGCTAAAAGACATGTCTTTTGGTTAACAGTTGCCCTGTGTTTGGACTAGTGACACTTTCCCCTGGCCAAGCAGGATATGAAAGCTGTACTTGAGTCTAGAAAGCCGTGAGGATGCTACATGATGAATTGGAATTATCTTTTTTGCTCTGCGGTTCTGCTTAAGTTAGCAACCCTTCCTTTCTTTATTCCAGTTGTCCATGCGCACAGTCAGTGCATCTCGCTCTGCTTATGCGAGCTTCCTCTTTGCCCCACTCTTCTTTCAAAAATACCAGCCAACAGAATCAGGATGTGACCCAGATACAGAGGCTTTCCGGTGCAAAGTGCACATGAAGGTGAGATACCCATGGGAGACCCAGGCCCTTCCCAAGAGGCAAGTGAACTACATGTTCACTTGCCATTGCCTTTCCTGATATCCCATGTTTAAAAGGCCAGGATGGGTTTTGTGGTTCAGAACAGGACCTCTTAAACTTTTTCCACTCGCGACCCCTTCCTACCTGAGAAATCTTTATGTAGACCCAGGTATAAAAGTCAAACATAACTCTGATAATAAATCAACATTTGAAAAGTTTGCTATACAAGATTGATATCCCTTTTTCTTTTGTGGAGTACATCTGAAGCATTTTCCGCACAGTCCATCATAAACACAGCACATTGTTGTTAACAGATTTGTATAAATAGATGGCATTCAGAAATCTTTAACTGTTTCCAGATTTTGTGTGACCCCAACATTGAGCTAAGGGGACCCCAGTTTAAGAAACAGTAGTTTAGAATGTGTTGTCAAAGATTTTCATGGCCGGAATCACTGGGTTGGTGTAAGATTTATTTATTTATTTATTTATTTACAGTATTTATATACTGCTTTTATCACCCCTAGGGGGACTCAAAGCGATATATAAATACTGTAGTTGTTTTCTGGGTTGTATGGCCATGTTCCAGAAGCATTCTCTCCTGATGTTCTCCCACATCTATGGCAGGCAAACCTCAAAGGTTGTGAGGTCTGTTGGAAACTAGGCAAGTGAGGTTTATCTATGGAATGTCCAGGGTGGGAGAAAGAACTGTTTGTGCTTGAGGCAAGTGTGAATGTTGCAATTGATCACCTTGATTATCACTGAATAGTCTCACAGCTTCAAAGCTTGGCTGCTTCCGGCCCGGGGAAAATAATAATAATAATAATAATAATAATAATAATAATAATAATAATAATAAATTATTATTATATCCTGCCTCCATCTCCCCAAATGGACTCAGGGCAGCTTACATGGGGCCAAGCCCAGTCAACAGAATTAAAAAATAACATATTTTAAATACTTAACATCAGTATAAAACAACATAAAAACAATATTATAACAATATATAGAACAATAATTTGTTGGGAGGTGATTAGTTGGTTCTGATTGTTTCTTGCCTGGATTTCCCATGTTTTTGAGTGCTGTTCTTTATTTACTGTCCTGATTTTGGAATTTTTTAATACTGGTAGCCAGATTTTGTTCATTTTCATGGTTTCCTCCTTTCTGTTGAAGTTGCCCCATGCTTGTGGATTTCAGTGGCTTCTCTGTGTAACCTGACGTGGTGGTTAGAGTGGTCCAGCATTTCTGTGTTCTCAGATAATATGCTGTGTCCAGGTTGGTTTATCAGGTGCTCTGCTATGGCTGACTTCTCTGGCTGAATTAGTCTGTAGTGCCTTTCATGCAGCTATGGACAAGTCTACATAGGGACCACCAAACGCAGCTTCCAAATACGATTCAAGGAACTTGAAAGGCACTGCAGAGAGAAGCCATTAGTCACTTTCAACATGACAAGAGTTGTGAGGGTAGAGGCTGTTTTGAGCTTACTGGACGAAAGGCAGAATATAAAAGGAAAGGAATATAAATACAGAATTAAGTTGACATTCGAACTAAAGTGTGATTACATAGTTTGTGGGGCATGTGTAGTCCTCTGGATCCTGTATTTTTTTAAAGAAAGCTTCCCCTCAAACATCAGTGAGAGCAGTAGGGGGCAATTTTGCTATGTTTTAGGCTTAGTGGGATCCTTTTTATTAACAGGAATTGACTCAGAAGCCAGTCACAGAGGGCAAACTCTTTTGGAGGCTCATACTTTTCAGGGAGATCTTTGCGGTCCTTGGAAGTCCAACATGGCCATCTATCTCCCATCATTTATCCACCACTACTGTAACCAATATGCTGGTTTTCCTAGTGGCTTCACCTTGTTTTGGAGACTGTGTATGTGTTAGAGAGAGAAACACATGCCCATTAACAGTTGTTTCCTCCTGCCTTCCAGTCTTTCTTGGCTGTTTTCCGTTCACTGCCCTCCCTGGAGAAGACTGTGGAGAAGTGCCTTCTCTCACTAAACTCCCATGCCAGCCGGTTCCGGGTGCAGCTCCACTGCAAATATGGTGAGCTCTGGGCCTGAATGGGAAGTGGATTAACCCTAGAAGGCTGAGGGTGGGTGTGCATGTGGGCTCAATTCAGAGCATAGTTTTGGTGCATTTGAAATCTGAATATAGATATTGCAGATGGCCAATATGAAGTCAGAGAGACTCCAAATGAATTTGGAGGAATCTGAGAGAGACAGGAAAGGGGAATTTATTGAGGGTTGTTTATCAGAGTCACAAGTCTTTTACCTCACTGTACCCTGAAGCCAAAAGGGGGATATATATGGTGTGTCAGTTGGTTCAGCCTACAACTCCCATCAGCAGGCAGTCTCCAAGTTAAAAACAAGATAGGTTCTGTAGGTTTGTTCTTAAATTGGATTTGTATGTAACTCAGAACATGTACGTTTTAAAGTGTAACTCCAGTCATATATCTATCGGTCTGTGCTGTTTGTTTTGCTATCTTTCCCTGTTCAGAAAATTTCACCTCACTTTCTGTCCCTGTGAGAATTGGATTTTGAAAAATGTGGCTTGTTGTGGAAACAAGGATTGGTGGTAAAGCTTCAGTGGAAGACAGCTTTTCCCCATGATAACTCTTCCAGGTGTGAATTTCCCTTCCAAGGGGTAGATTTCTCTCATTTCCTGTTGTCTCACAACTCTTGACTGTGAGTTGTTCGTAAGTCGAATGTTTGTAACTCGTGGACTGCCTGTACAAAGGTTCCTTAACCCTGTCTTCAGGTGTAAAGCAGCAAAGAGAGCTCACAGCTATGTTGGACTGGGTCTCTTGGTGAACCCAAATGCAGATTGTGTTCCTTCTTACCTTGCAGGTATGGTGAGGATAGGTTGGTATTGATAAAACAGCTATGGTACAACTTCACACATCCTGCTAAATTTCAGACCATTTTTGAGGCCTTGTGGTTTATGGAATATATCCCAAATTGTTCTGTTTCTCTAAAGCCCAATAAGGGTTTTCCTTTTTCTTCATATGAGTATTATCACATTGGGTCTGTTATGGGACGTTTTGAAGTCTTGAGGCGGAACTGTCTTCTGACCCTTTATTAAAATAGTAATAAAGTAAGCTAATAATCAAGGACATAGCCATGTTTGTCTGCCTCGATATTAAAAATGTTTTCAATCCTGTACCATTGCATGGGAAAAAGATGTTTCTATCCTAAGTTTGTGTGACTCCACTCCATCTCCAGCACTGTATTCCCAGCCCTCAGCCTTACAGTTTACATTGCACTAGCCCTATCCTGCCCTATTAGTCTCAAATCTGCACATGCCCACTTTTCTCGGCTATGCCCACTTTTTCCAGCTATTGCTTGTTTGTTGCTTTATGTTTTATGATGTCTTAGATTTTATTGGTTTTATTGTTTTAATATAGTTGATTGTTATATGTTTTTAACTGTATTGCTTTGCAACCATGTTTATATTGGGCTTATTCCTCATGTAAGCCGCCCCGAGTCCCTTCAGGGAGATGGAGGCAGGATACACAAATAAGATATTATTATTATTATTATTATTATTATTATTATTATTATTATTATTATTATGTGTTTGCTGGTTTTTTATGTTACTGCACAGCTCTTTTGCCAGAGATATCTGTTTCACTCAGTCTAATAGTAGGGCCAGCCCTGCATCATGTGAAGATAGTGGGGTTGTGCATTATCCCTGTTTTGCCATTGTTCTCCTGCTGGCCCTATCCATACATTCTGGCAATTTGGAGAAAGATCTGATTTAGGGGAAGTTTGGGGAAATGGCTATAGATTATCCATCATCTGAAAGATTTATAGCCATTGATTCTGAACTGTCACATTAAACTTTTAAATTGCAGGAAGTAATGATCTAGCATGAATTTGTGTAGGCGCCTCAATTTGTTCGCATGTGACTGGCTGACAGCACGCTTGCAGCTGAAACAGGCATCTATTTTTTTCACTTGGTGGAGAAGGCAGAGGATTCTGAGACACGTGAGAAGATAGAATAGTCAGAGGCCACGGTACTTGAAGGTTTTGCTTCAATACTGGAATACTTAGAATACTCCCATTCTGAGTCATGTAACCTAAAGATGCTCATTATCCCTCAGCATCTGAGAGGGCTTTTTCAAGGTTGAATTCTAAGAGCATTGTGTCTCCAGCAATACAGAGAAATGCAGTAGCAGGGCTCTATAATCACTCTTACTGAATATGAATATTAAATAAAATGGATACAATCAGTACTAGCTGCATCTAACAAAAATTATTTTTAAACAATCCTTTTTAATACAAGAGTTTTTAATTCATTCTCAACTCACCAGGGGCCATTTCAGGCTCTGAGAGAGGAAAAATACCACTGCATTCTTCTTCTTCAGCTCTTCCCGTCTTTACAGCTGACCCTGTGTGGTTCAAAGTCTCTGGAGAGACGGAAAGTGCCCCAGGGCCATTTCCCAGGAAGCCGCACATACACTCACTCACCCACTGCAATTCCCTTCCCCCTGCAGGTGTTGTCAAGACCCATGACTTGCCATTTCAGGAATGTGAATCCTTGCAAGCTGACTTTGACACAGGCCAATGCGCCCATGCTCTGCGTGCCCTTCCCAGGTGAGACCTTGCTGCGGTTGGGGCTGGAAATGGCAATGCAGGAGGGCAATGCAGGATGCAGGAGGGCTGCATCTGACTGGAGAAGGGACTTTAAAGACAGACTCCTGCAGTCCAGATGTGCAGCACTTCACCTTGCAGAATGTTTTACACTTTAATATCCATGGCACAAGCAATGGATTTCAGGGGGAGGAGGAAATACAGATCATTTTCTCTCCCCCCCCCCCCCCCCCCCCGAGAGGTTCCTGAACTACTGGTTTAATGCTAAGTGATGAGCGTGGGAAGCTGTTGCGTGGGCATAATGCTGGGGAAAGCTGGGACGGGGGCGAGCAATGGATGCTTTGTACAGGCTGTCTTTAGCAACTGAATGGGGACAATGAGTCGTAAGTGCAGATGGGAGCTGGGGATTTCAACCATGAAATGTGCCTCGCTGTTCACCCCATCCCTCCTTCATCCAATTCAGGTTGTTAGCGGATGCTGTGGTGCATTTCCCACTGGCTTTGGCTGAGGTGACTCTGGTTGCCAGCCCAGCGGGGAAGTTGAGCTTGCGCAGTTACTTGGAAGAAGAAACCGGTGAGTTTCCTACCTTCCCAGCTTCCAGCTTATCCCTACAGCTTGTCAAGTTATCTGAGACTTCCTTAGCTTGTGTTAAGAGCCCTGATATAGGAGGCAAGTTCCTGGCACAGAGGTTCCTGCTTGCAATGGCCTTGTCATGTCCCCTTTCCTCTGTTTGGCAGTCCTGCTAAATAGGCACATGAAGAAGCAGCTGCCGGAAAGCATTTTCTAATCATGATCTCTCCCTCAGAGGCAACCAGGACAATGGTGACAGAGCTGTGCTTAAACGAGGATGAGTTTCAGGCCTTCCACATTAAGCAAGAGACACAAGTCACTTTCTGCCTCAAGGAATTTCGAGTATGTATGCTCCCTGTTCCTTGCCTTAACTGGAGAAGATGGATATCTTTACTATTTCTGACCTGTTTTTTCCTCCATCTCCCCCTGTTCTTCTCTCTCAGGGTCTTCTGAGTTTTGCGGAGTCATCAAATCTTCCCCTTAATATCCACTTTGACAGTCCTGGCAGGTAGGCCTTCACTAGAGAAGCTTCTAAGTAGTGCATTGCCTCATGTCTAATACAGCCTCCACACACAACGGCAGCATACTGGGAGTATTGCCCTCATGCCCTGCTTGTGTGCGAAATAGAGGCATCTGGCTGGTCACAGTGGGAAATAGGATGCTAGAATACAATTATAGTATAATAGAGTTGGAAGAGATCACATAGAAGAGACACATCTAGCCCAACCCACTGCCATGCAGGAAAAGTACAATCAAAAGAATTGTGGTGCTTTGGACTGATCCAGCATATGGTTCTTAGTAAGAATCATCTTTATTTGTTTTTCTACCCTACAGATAGCTTGCAGGAAGCTTTCCTATGTCATTTTCCTGCCAAGGATGTGATGCCTGGCTAGATTTGCTGGCAATACCTTATACCTTGCCACTGCTGATTTTAATTTGGAGCCTCTTAGCCCTAAACATGTAACTTTTGAGCCATCCTCAAAAGGAGCTGTCTTCATAGACCTATCAGCAGCATATGATACTGTAAATCATCACCTTCTCCTGAGAAAAATTTATAATATCACAAAGGATTCCCATCTCTCCTCATAGGAAATCTTCTACAAAACTGGAGCTTTTTTGTTGAGTTCCAGGGTCAGAGAAGCAAATGGTGAAAACAGAGGAATGGCATGCCCCAGAAGAGCGTACTTGCTCCATCAAGGTTCAACATTTACACAAATGTCTATGGCATTGAATGTTTGCCATGTATATGCACATTGTAATCTGCCCTGAGTCCCCTGCGGGGTGAGAAGGGCGGAATATAAATACTGTAAATAATAAATAAATAAATAAATAAGCAAGCAAGTGTGGAGAAGAGCAAAGCACAGAGCACTTACTACAATGGAGGACGTGCTTACAGAGATACCAGTGGCACTCCAAGTGGCCAGCTTCTGGCCAAAGGAAATCTAGCATAATACCAAGTTTTGAACTTTGATTGTGTCTTTTAAAATGCATTATAACTGTACCACTTCTGACACGATAGATAAATAAATAGCCATCCCTACATCAACTATCTTCCTGCAGGCCCGCTATCTTTACTTTGGATGATGCTGTCCTCCAGGTGCACCTGGTCTTGGCTACCCTTGAAGAACCAGAGAGCTCCAGTTCCCAAATGACCTCATGGTAAGCATGGGTTCTGCCCTTGAAACATGGTGTGAGGTGGAGTTCAAGAGACCTGGTAGCTGTCTCTATTTGCCCTGCACAACAGGATTAAAGCTGTGCTGCTGGTGTCAATTTGTAATAGGGATTTTTGTTGCCTATTAAGCAGATCTCCCTCCCGCTCCGCAGTCCTGAGCTGCTGTTTTGGCAAGTAACAGTTGGTTACCTTGGTTACTGTTGAAATTGCTTGGCATCTCAGAGTTATAATGAAGCATTTTCCTGTCATGGTTAGACCCATTTTCCTGCCACTGCAGTTTTACGTATTGAGTGAGAAGTAGAGTGCCAAATATTTCTTTTTGAGAGCAGGGCCTGCTTAATAGAAATATACCAGGCCTTTCTCGAGGGGAAGCTTTCCTTGGTTTGACCGAGTGCCTCTTCGTGCTGTTTTAGAGTTAACCTGCTGTTTCTTTCCCGACAGCACTCCGAAGCCCATTGCCCCTGCATATGACTTCACCGGTGATGACATTGATGACTACATGATAGCTATGGAAACAACATGTGGTGGCCCCGCAGGGACAGAGCCACCTCCCAGCCCCACCTTCCCTATGGGGCCCACCAGTTCAGAGGCAGAAGAGCCAGGCAGTGATCACGAGGAGACTGTCCTTGGCACACCACCACAGAAAAGGGTACGTACTAAAGGGCTGCCACAGCCAAACTATAGATGCAGGGTGAAGAATGTGGCCCTGCAAATCTGCTTTTTTGTAGTTCTGATAAGTTTGTGTAAGGAGCCTCTGGTGGCACAGTGGGTTAAAGCACTGAGCTGCTGAACTCACTGACCAAAAGGTCACAGGTTAGAATCCAGGGAACAGCATGAGCTGTTAGGCCTAGCTTCCGCCAACCCAACAGTTCAAAAACATTTCCATGATCAATAGGTACCACTTCTGTGGGAAGGTAACAGCACTCCATGCTGGCCACATGATCTTGGAGTTGTCTATGGACAATGCTGGCTCTTCGGCTTAGAAACGGAGATGAGCACCAACCCCCAGAGTCTGACACGACTGGACTTAATGTCAGGGGAAAACATTTACCTTTACTTTAAGTTTGTGTAAAATTATTTAAAGGGTACCTGTCTTATATTCGGCAAAGATGGGCATTGATTTCAAGACAGGAAGATATAGTAGGCACAATGCAATTTTGCAGTGTATTATTATTATTATCATCATTATTATCTTATTTTTCCTCTCTTAAAGAGACTCAAAGTGTCTTCCGGTAAAATCAATATGATACAAATTTAATCTAAAAGAATACAAGCATTAAAATTGAGTTAAATATTAGCAGTATTAAAAATTGTAGAAAACCCTTACTATGTGCTTCAGCAGGTTATCACAAAATAGTCCATAAGTGAAATTATCATAGGTACCTATTCACAGTGAAGTTTCCTTGGTTGCTCTGATGTAACTATAGGCTGGATCTCAGTTCCATTGAAATAAACTGGACTTCAGTCACTTATGGCTGCATTATTCCCTGGCTTGAGATTAAATGTCGTTATTAATGTCGCTGGAGCATAGCCATTAATTACACATTCAAAAATGACAGAACTTGAGCTTTGTTCACTGTAAGTGTTGCAAAATCTGGGCTTTCAAAATGGTAAGGGTGTGGTAGAAACTGTACATTTGGGAAGCAGTGTCAGTTTTGGACTGGCTGGGAGGAACAGGGATAAAATGCTGAAGTTTTTCCCACACTGACTACCAGCTGCATTTTAAAAGCATTTTTGTATATTGATTTAGTTTTCTGTGACTACTGCAGGAAGATCTCAGAATAATAATTTATAACAGTTTTTAGTTGTTTAATGTAATGTAAACTGACTTATTCTAACAATTGTATGTTTAATTCTATTGTAATATTAATATTTTGTAGGTTTAAAATTATATTGTTTTTAAGGTTGTGGGCCACTTTGGGTCTTGACCAAAAGAGAAAAGCAGAGTACAAATAATAATAATAATAATAATAATAATAATAATAATAATAATAATAATAATAGCTTGTGCTCTGGCACAAGTCAGTAAAGGTAGTCCGTGATCGTCACATTGGGTGCAGTGCCTAAAGACCTGGGCCTGCCTTTAAAAACAATTGGTGCTGACAAAATTAACGTCTGTCAGCTGCAAAAAGTCACCCTACTCGGATCTGCATGCACTATTCGCCAATACATCACACAGTCCTAGACACTTGGGAAGTGTTCGACGTGTGATCAAATGCAAAAGCCAGCCTAGTGATCTTGTTTGCCATGTACTAATCTTGTTGTGCATCGAATAATAATAATAATAATAATAATAATAATAATAATAATAATATCTTCCGCTTTCTAAACTGTTTTTCAGTTATGGTCCAAGATTTTTTTGCCCTTGTTTCTTTTGCAGTTCCGGTCCTTGTTCTTTGGATCAGTCCTGAGCCAATCGCAGTCCTTGGCTCACTCCCGGCCCAGCCAAGAGGTGCTGGCAGAAGACAGCGAGGGAGAATCATGAGAGACGTCAGCCTTTCCCATGAGACATAACTGAATTTCTTCTTCTAGCAGAGAAAATTATTTCAGGCTCAGTGGATTCTCTTCTGGATGGCTGCCCAATCAAACCAAAGAGCTCGCCCTACTCATAATTCAGTTTGTAACATTAACTGAGCAGCTTGTGTATCATGGAGAAAAATGCTGATGGAGTAGAACCATACTGAGAGTATATTCAAATATGTATGTCAAGACAATGGTTGCCATTTGGTTTGTGGCATACAGAAGTGTAAGTTAACCCTATACCACTTTATATCTACTTTTGTTCTCCGGAAGTTGGTGTTTCCTCCCTCCTACCATCGTGTCCAAAGCACCCCCACCATAACAGCCTTCCCCCAACCATTTCTACCTGAAGGAAAGTAGAAGGAATCACAGAAGTATGACTATGTACCCATAGCCGTGTATGAAATGCTTGCATCAGTCTCTGAAACCTCCAGGGATGATGTAATCGGTCTTTGTCTGACAGGTGATACAGAGACTTCTGCATTTCAGCTGCTCTCCTCTAGGCACAAGGTGGAGGGCAACAGCTCTGTAGTATCTCTAGGATTAGTAAATTGTCTAATGTAGCGTAATTCCACACAAGGTAGTACTAAATTATGCAGGGTATTTTCCCCCAAGGAGGAATAAACAGTGTCTTGGTGTACTAAGTTTTTGACTAATACTTATTTTGTAATAAACATGTTCCTACCTTTGACTATGATGTCAGTTTTTATGAAGCTCCACCTCTTACTGCTTTCCACACCTTCTGAGCCACCTGTTTTCCCTCTTCCCAAGCAATTAGTTTCAATTGTTGAAGCTATCATTTGTTGTAAACTAACCGTGAATTAGAACTGAAGCATGGATGGTGAGGGAAGTCTAATCCAGTGGTTCTCAACCTGTGGGTCCCCAGATGTTTTGGCCTTCAACTCCCAGAAATCCTGACAGCTGGTAAACTGGCTGGGATTCTTGGGAGTTGAAGGCCAAAACATCTGGGGACACACAAGTTGAGAACCACTGCTCTAGAGAGCTACATCTTCTCTGCCTTAAGAACACAGCTTGCCCAGACTATTTATGTGGTTCTTTTTCAACAAAAATAGAGACATTCTCCTCTAAAACAAGGTGTATTGTTTATGTGCCTTTTCAAAAACAAAAGCAAGCTTCTAATTTTGGCAAAAGGGCTCCTGGAACTTGCACACTTGTGCTGTTAAAGGTATCACTGCACTTAACAACACATCTGTTCTTGGAAGCTATTTCGTTTTATCCTATTGCAGCTTTCCCCAGCTCAGCACCCTCCTGTTGTGTTGGGCTGAAATTCTCACCAGCCATATGAAGTCAAGAAGAGCTAGGCAGGGGGGAGATGGAGTCCAAGAGTGCAGGTTAGGAAAGAGTGTCTGCTTGCATGTTGTGTCCTGCCTTCCTTTCTGGTTTTAAGACACTCACATTGCTACAGGATTGCCTTGGCTCCATGCTAGACCTAATTCCAACAAACTCATTAGCAGCTGATACTATGCCATGGCTTGGGATTTAACCAGAGCTTAAGCAAGCAACAACAATCTGATTCACATAAAGGAGGCAAGGACAAGAGATCCTTTAAACAGCTTACAGAACATGGGAAAGGTATTAGGTAACCCTATGAGGAATACCATGTGCTAAGACTGAAAGGTAGTTTTCAATCCAGCTGCACCAAAATGACCTCACTACAACATGGGTTGTAGTCAGCATAATAGCATGCTCCCTCTTCAGTGGCCTTAACATTAGTCTCAGAGGATTGAGGAAGATCAACCCACCCTCTAGGACAGAAATGAGGAACCAATAGTGCCTCAGCTTCCCTGAGTCCAGTCAACTTGGCTAATGGCTAGGGATTCAATGGAAAAGAGATTCACTCCAAACGTTAGGAAGAACTTCTTGATGCGAAGAGCTGTTAGATAGTGGAATACACTGCCTTGGAGTGAGGTGAACTATCCTTCTCTGAAGGTTTTTAATCAGAATTGATGGCTATCTGTTGGGAATGCTTTGATTGGCTATTCCTGCATGTGTGAATAGGATTGGACTGGATGACATAAGGTCTCTTTCAACTCTATGAACAAAATTAACAAGCTGAACAAGAGATATCAACTTTAATGATTCTACAACAATCAAAGAGACCAGTGATTCACAACCTGTGGTCCGTGGAACTAAAATATGGTCCACGGTCTCACTGTTACTATACTGTTGCAATGAGAGCGACTGGTCTTGCTCATATGGGTGGCATATGTCCTGTATCAGAAACTACAGCTGATGTGGTCTATCCAATGCAATTTTCTGAATCAGCACCCCTAATAACCAAACCAGATCTAAAATGGACCAAAATCTGATTCGTAATCCTTTTGGTACTAATATTGGAGAGTGGTCCCTGGTCAAAAAAAGGCTGGGAACTACTGGTATAGATGCACTCTAGGACACTCTCCTTTTTCACTCCCACTCCTCCCCCAAATCAATGTGTTCCCACACCAGATGGGGCAGCTGGGGAAAGTTTGTCTGCAAATTGCTGCCTCACAAGCAAAGTTTTAAAAGAAAGAAGAACTGCTCCCTCTGCCAATATGGAAAGCATTTCCCACCATCTCCTTCCCCTCACTGTGTTTCCCCAAAACAAGAAACAGCAGCAGCTTTTTAAGAATCTTACACGTTTATTCAAAAAGATGTAGTACCCCCCATGGGGGAGAGGGGAGCACACATCGGGACAAAGTTGGCAAAAAGTCAATCAAAAATACCCCCAAAAATAAAGACATCCCCTATTCCCAGGGGAGCAGAATTTTTGGTATTGAATTCTTATTGAGACATTTAAAAAAAATTACATGGCTGGGCCCTGGGGAGGTAAGCAGCCGCTGTACAGTGTCACCGCTACGCAAGACAGCCTGGGCCCCACACCTACAGCTAGGAAGGGGAACAGGCAGGGCAAGTTACTTCTTGGCTTTTGCCGAGTTGCGTGGAGGAGTGACCGGGCGCCCTCCTGGGTTCAGGCCACTGAACTGGCCATATTTGCCCTTGTTCTTGTCAGCTGGTTTCAAGATCTGCAAGTTCGGAGGAATTGGGGGAATAGAGAAGAAGAGAAGGAAGATTAGACATTGGGGAGGGAGGGATGACACATCTCTTGCAACCCTACCTTGTGGAGAAAAGATCCATCTGAGCATCTTGTTGACAAAACATTCACAGTGATGAAACTCTGAGGCCCCTTCCACACAGCTGAATGAAATCCCACATTTTCTGCTTTGAACTGGAATATATGGCAGTGTGGAGTCACTGCCTTTCCACACACCCCTATATCCCAGAACATCAAGGCAGAAAATCCCACATTATCTGAGTGTGGACTCAGATAACCCAGTTCAAAGCAGATATTGTGGGATTTCCTGCCTTGATATTCTGTGATATAGGGTTGTGCGGAAGGGCTCTCAGATAACCCAGTTCAAAGCAAATATTGTGGGGTTTTCTGCCTTGATATTTTGGATTATATGGCTGTGTGGCAGGGCCCTGAGTCAAACCCTTTGTCATGACTGTAGCTTTTTAAAAATATCCTAGAACAAAAGCTACAACTCCATTTCAGCGCCAGACTACACCACCTGGAAAACAGCCATCAGCTTAATGCTTTAATCCTCATCCTATTATAGCCAGGCTTATTTACATGCAATTGCATTTGTCCGCATCAGTTCCTTGCTACTTTCCCCTCTCATTCCACTAGTTTTTGATTGTACATTCCATGAAGACAGGAATCTGGATGTTTCTGAAACACTATAAATATAGGTGGCAAAAGGCCACCCGCTCCTCTACAATAAAAAGTTGCTGATTTAATTTGGGAACTTCTATTATGCTGCCTAGGTAATTTCCTGAAGATACTAAGGAAAAACAGAGGAAGCAAATAAAAATAAGGACAAACCATTAAATGGTATAGTAGGTTTGGTTTTCATAAAACAGAAAAGGGGGCCTTATTGCAGAGGCCCAATTGAAGCATTTGGAAAATCTAAGCTATGGAGGCAATTTCCAACCCTGCTTCTTCCGCACCAGATTTCTCTTCACTGACAAGGAAGAGCTCTTCAGCTGAAGGGAAAGCAAGAACTTATACCAAACGAACACAGTAATCCACATAAGCTCCACTGAGCAGAAAACCATAATGGCCCTTGGCAAAATGCACCTTTAGTTTGGCTTCACATCTTGTCTAGTAACCTGAGGAGGTCAGAGTTGGGGAAGACATGTCCATCATAGCTCTTCACCCCATTTCTCAAACCCCCAAAACAGCTTGAGTGAAATTGGCAATGCATTTTAGTAGACTTTGCTAAAGGATTATTTCATATGATGTTCTCCCTAACATACATTTGGCATTTTACTACATTACAATAAGAGCTTTCCACTAAGATCTAAAGTTGCAATATCATTTTGAAATACGAATTATTCCCCTCTCTCCGCCTTCCCCCGTTTGCCCATCCCTCAGCATAATGAATTCAGTGGAAGTTCATTATTGTGAAAGTTTGAATAGTTTTTTCAAAAACTACAGTTATAATTCTTTCGCTTTTAGATTGCACATCCAATCTCTCCTCCAATGACTTGGGATTTTGAAGAAAAAAACTGGAAAGTAAGACAAGCATGACTGGTCTCCCTTGCAAGAACATTAACAAACCACATAGCAAAATACCATAATTACTGTAACTTTCCAGGACTTGGCTACTTCAGTATCCCTGTTCATCTTGTGTACAAGGACACAATTTTGATAAAGAAGCCACTGCAAAGATAAGGGATGTTCAAAGTTATATCGAAAGGGAAGTACATGTTCAGAGTTTCCACACACTCTGCAGAGTTCTCCAAAAGGTTACTTCCCAGCCACACCCAACCAGAATTGCCACTGAGCATGGGATTTTAGGAGAACAAAAAGCCAACCTTTTGAGCACTATTTGGCATCTAACACAGGATACTGCATCATTGACACCTTGGCTTGTTTACTACTTTTTTCTTGCATGTGCTCTCTCTTGCTTAATCTTTAAAGGCATTTTCCTTATTGATTATAACAGAGCTGGGATGGAAAGTAGGTCTGGTACTACTGATACATGCACAGGTGACTTGCAAGTAAATGGGCCAGGGCTATCTGATCCTCAGAGGTCAAAAACAACACAAAATGGCACACACCCCACCACAACAGTGTGAATGGTTGCAAACTTTGGTGAGTGATGGCATTCTCCCAGGCTAAAAATTATTTAAAATGTAATCTTAGGATGCTAGTAAACCCCAAAACAGACCCTGAAAGGATGACCTCTACACACCTTGAACTAACAACAAGAAGTGATATGGGGATGACCAAATAGGACACCCTGTTGAACATTCTTTACCTGGAAGGAGCACATAAGAGTCTCATCCACACTCATCATTGCACCAGCATTGTCAAATTCGCCACAGTAGTTTGGGGCAGAAAAGAGTGTCACCAGCTGCCTTTTGGCAAAAAACTCATATCCATCTTCTACGACCTACAAGCAGACATGGGGAAAGAGGAAAAGGAGGAGGAATTGTTAGTGAAGTTGCCACATAAACCCATTCACATCCTCTGCAGATCCTACTTGCCCACTGTTCAAAAACTCTAGTTTTTCCACAGAGCTTATTATTATATAAATTCTCCAAGATCAAAACTTACTTGCTCTCAGCTTTTACAACTAAAAATCTATCTTTGCTGTGCAACCACCACCAGCCCTACGTTCA